CCCCAAAACCCCAAAACCCCAGAAAGTTAAAATGATCAATTTTTGAAATAGTAAAAATAAATTCATTTTTAATCTTAACTTATAATTCATTGAAAAGCATTATTATTGTTCTCGTCCTTAATCTCAATTAAATTTCCTTTGTTTTTGTTTTTAAAATTCCTCTTTTTTTTCTTCAATTTTCTATCACTTTCTTTTTAATCATCCTCCAAAAGCTCATTTATTAAGTTTTAATCCTTATCTAATTCATTGAAATTGAAATTTCTCGCTTTTTATTAATCTCCTTCAAATTCATCATCAATTATCTCGAATCTCTTCAAATTCAGTAAAGTACTAGATGTATTCTTGAATTTTAAGGAAATAGAGGGTAGCATGCTTTCCTCCGTACTATACATTCTTGTCTCCTTCTAATCAGTATTTAATTCTCCTTACTTGCCTTCTTCTGTATTTTCCTTGATTTCTTCATCACCAAAGTCCTCCTCACCAACATCTCTTTCTTCAATATTTTATATCTTTATTTAGACTTTTTTTCCACCATCCTTTTCATTATCTTGATCAAACTCCATTTCATCTAAATTGTCTTACTAGTGATCTGGCTTTATCTATACTGTCTTATCTAGCTCTGAAATTTCTTAGTAAGATTTGGTAAAGCATCTATTACATAGGTTCCGTAAAAGTGAAAGGAAAGAAAATAGCACAAGCGCTTGATTAGTAACCAAAAGTAATATAAGTGCATAATAAAGGATCTCCTGTGAATTTTATATGCTTGAAATGCTTGTTGAGTATTTTGATAAGCTAAAATTAGAATAGAGTACAGCCATATACAAAAGCTCATTCATAATTATTGTAATGTTTTTAATTGTAAAAAATGCTGATTTTGTTGTTGTTTCAATCATAAGTGTAGACATAATAAGCTGGAGATAGATTTAGAATGATATCGGTAAAAATGCAATGCTTAGTCCGTATAGGAATCTCCGAGTAAAAAATATAAATGCCTCTTAATTTACTCTTTAGTTGCCTTAAATTTCTATGTTAAAAATCTTGTTCATGATGATTCTAAGGTTTGTATCAAATTTATTAATTCCTATCTAATCTTTTATTGTTTAGATATCTAGAAGGTATAATATTTCAGAATTATTTGATTAAGAGAAGCTAGGTAAGATCAAATATCCAATCATCATCGGAATAAATGATAAAATTACTAATAGACTCAAGCAAAATATCAAATATGATTAGTTATATCTATCAATAGAAATGTGTGTAAATTATCCAAGTACTGTAAATGAAAATGATAGTGAGTAGAGGTAACTCAAATACAATATATATGATATCAATCTCAGATCTAGCTTCTGATATAATGAAATCAAAAGCCTTCCAAATTTTCCATTTTCCATGCTACTAATTAATCCCTTATATTTCATGCTTTTATTCCCAATAAAATAAGCAGCCAAAAGTTTATCAGTAATGAAATATATAGATGCAATTATTGCTAATGTGATGAAACCTCTTAACTATACAAGTAGATTGAATTAATCATATCCTGATAATTCATATTTATTAGGTAGGCTGAAGTGATCTTATTGATATGTTCTATTTATTTCTGAGATTCCAAAGATGTTTGGAATGAAACTGAATGTGGTAAATATGGTTAAATGTTCAAGGAATTTGAATCCACTGAGACTTAGCTCGTTTTAAAATAAACCTATGTTAGTGATAAGCTGAATATAATTAAGCATCTAGAAAGCAATATGCCCAATCTCATATCTTATATTAAACTTATTAAATCAAGAAATATCTTACTTATAAAACGACAAAATAATGTTGATAAGAAGTGCAATCAAGAAGTATGTCTAAAGCTACTTGGAAAAGACTTCATTCTAATTCATTTAATCTAGATTATATTATTCAAAAGAAAACAATGTAAACTTACCTGTTAATTTAGTTTTTTAGAAAGGGAAAGATACTGTGATACTTTCAATAGTCTCTGATAATTTAGAAGTATTATTGTTTAGTAAATTCTACAAATATCTTTTGCTATCTTTGTAATCAGAATTAAGCATTCTTTTATTTTATACAGGCACATTCTTGAATGTAAAGATAATAGTCATCTCATCTTATGAATCAGAAAGCTCTGATAGGAATCGAGGATCAATTTAGATATCTACTTTTCCATTTTCTTGATAGGAAATGTTGTAATTGCATTTATATTAAAAATCCTCTGATCCTAATTGTACTGAAACAGCTAATCTAGATATTATTACTTTGATGAGTGCTTTCAGATAGCTGCTTGTATATTGCTACAGTTCTTTAGGCTCAATTGTTATATTTCCATTTGCATTAATTTCTATATCTTAGAAAGTAAAAGGTAGATTATCCAAAACACTATTGTCCTGAAGAGAAAACACAATCTTTTAGAATACTATTATATCAATCTAGTATGTTGTATATTTTGTATTATCCCTGCTATCTACTAAAGCAATAATTATTCGATGAGCCCCGACATCTGACTTTGATGGACTTATAATCAAGCCAGTATTATTCTCATTTAGTTTGATAAAATATCTTCCCCGTTGTATGTATATTATAGTCGATCTCCCAGTTGATTAGTCTATACCAGGAAATGCTTCTTCATTTTTTTCTTGGGTGTAGGACACAATGGGTTGAGGCTTAACAACAAAAGTAGGTCTTTTTATACTTTCGTATTTATATATATAAGGCTCTGGTTTAGAAAAATTATTATTGTTTCCATTATTATTGGTGCTTCCTCCATTGTTATTTGTGTTATTTCCTGTACCAGTTGTGCTATTAGTACTGTTTGTATTGTTTACTGCTGTATTATTGTTGGTATTGTTATTATTATTGGTATTGTTGTTATTACCGATATTTGAATTATTATTATTTCCAGTTTAATTGCCTCCGTTTGTATTGTTATTATTGTTTGAACTATTTCCTCCAGTGCTATTGTTTGTACTATTTCCTCCAGTGCTATTGTTTGTACTATTTCCTCCATTATCAGTGTTATTTCCTGCAGAGTTATTATTATCGTTATTATTATCTTCCACAACATCTATAACCTCATCAATTCATCCTATAAAACTTGGATCAGCTTCATCTTTTGCATCTCCTCCTTAGGCTTAGATAAATAAGTAAATATTAACCTAAACAGTAGGTATATAGTAGTAAGTTTGTAAAGGTTTTAATGATATTGTTAGGGTTTAATTTTATATATCATTGGCATCTTGTGTTTCAATTGATAATTACATTAATGCTTTATCATAAATAATGTAGTTTGGCAAGGATGAATACATATAAGATGAATAAGCATCTATATCATATTTGAAATTACATTGATCAATCATATGAATATCTGTCAAGTTAATTATTTTTTTGCCTTAGCCTATAGTGTACGCATAATAGAAAAACTTCTTTTCATAACTAACTGTTGTAGAATTACAATATACACTCACATAAAGTGACATATCTACAAAATTTTAATAGGAATTAGATTTCAAGTCAAAGTAATACAAACCTGTATCATAAATGTAAAAGCCTGCTGTCTATGGATCTCTTGAATAAATCCAAAAAGTAGTGTTTAGAGATTTACTAAATTTAAATGGATTAAAGCCGGATGGTCCTAATATCTTGTCTAGCAAAACTATGGGCTCTTGACAACCCTCTGATGAAGTGTAATATTATCCTATATTAACTTCAATTGAATCAGAACCTATATAATAATCCGTCATTAAAAATTTCGTAGATGAAGGATAGCAATTCTTGACGTCAATGTTAACTACAAAACTTTTATACTGACCATCTGGAAAGTATATATCCATGTAAATATTTTCGTAAAATACGTATCAAACATTTTCACTCAATAAAACTAAATAGCTTCCTTCAACATGAAAATCATTTAAGCCTGACCAAGATTTTTTTGTAAAGTTTCTGCTCTTATCACTGCAAATTTCATCTCCAGTAACATATTAATTGAGATCAGCTTTAAAGTCACCATTTTGTTTAGAGTAAGTTAACAAGATAGGTTATGTGACATTCATTGAAATCGATGTGCAAAACTTGCCATATTTTTGAAAGAATATTGCTTAATCCATATCTTCAAGCGTCCCTACAATCAGCTGGGTAAATGCCAAATTTCCTAAGATTAGATCATTAGATATGCTATTTGAAGAATATTCTGTTGTAAAGGATCGGAAATTTTCCACTGTAATTTGATCAGCAGTATTATTTTAAGCACAGGATTTAGAGTAATCATTCGTATTTAGTAACTATGTTAATTCATAATCAAATAATGTAGAAATTCTGTAATTGGAGGCTGAGGCAATATACATCACTTTGAAATTGTTTAAAATCATTGCATCAGTAACAACAGAGAGCTCTTTGAAAACGATTTTTGTCCTTGTTATTTTAGCGCCCAAAGTATCGATATCTTAGATTCTGAAAAGATATATTGGATCTCCTTTCTAATCAGAAAGAGAAGTGATTGCAACTACATAAATCTCAGTTGCTGATATTATTTTTGTATCTCTAGCAATTAGGTATTCTGTATATTCAAAAGTTTTCAAAATTCTTTGCGAGGTTGCATCATTGTTTGTTAATAAAGAAAATTGACTTCTTAATTCATATTCTAAATTTGATTTATCATTAACAGTGTTTGAATTGAAGACTATATATTGCTTAGTTCCTATTGTTTTAACATTTAGGTCTTAAATTATGATATACTTTGACTCATTCTATACTTTATCATATTCAAATCCGTAGGACCAGTCATATTGGTTGGTATTGGAATCGACTCTTGTCACTCCAATTTTCACATTGTTTTACCCATCTGTTTTTGCTGTCTCTTTTACAAATCCAATGTAAAGTTTTTAATCTGATTCATCCAAGTAAATTGAGTTGAACTTTTTCTTATCGCTAGATCCGCTTTGAACCATCATTGACCAGCTAACTATCAGATCGTTCGGTCCTTGTGAAAAATCTAATTATCCAAAAATACTTGCTTTGATGTCTACAGTGTATGCTGCCAAATATAATTTATTACTAGTGGTGAAAAATGCGGAATTGACCTCATTGATATTATAATAATTGGATCCAGATTCGCTGTTTACTTAGTATTGAGTCAACAAAGCTCCATCACTCGCATCAATCAAGATTAGGATAAGTCTAGGATTGGTATTTTAGTCCTGTTGAGCAGCAGCAATCACTTTGCTTGCTTTTCCAGAGGTTTTTTGAAATTATATTGAATTAACGTACTACACAGTAGTATCCGAATAGTATTTAAGCCATTTACTATCATCGGCTCCCTAATATTGAAAATAGAGGCCATCGTCATTGAATGAATATACCATTGAATAAAATTATCTTAAACCACCAATCACAATGTTTTGTTCTCCGTCCATATCCATAGCATGAGGGTTAGAATATCCCGACCAATCACCCATTCCAACTGGGAAATCAAATCCATAGCATTTTTAAAGAGAATTTACAGGAGAAATTCTCATTGCAACGCTTAGAATAAGAAACATGCCAAAGCTTCAGATTTTATATGATGAATATCTAGGACCTTTATCTGACGATTTTTTGCATTCTTTTCCGCGTAAAGGATTATGATATTGCTTTTAAGAGATCTTCTCTTGCTTTTAATTATCAATTTCGCTGTTATATCTCATAATTTGAGGATTTCTGTGATTTTATTAATACATTTATTTATTACAGCTAATTAACTATACTTATCAATAAAAATCCTCATTTGCGGGGTTTTGGGGTTTTGGGGTTTTGGGG